TCTTATGCGAAAGGATTTTACGAGGGAAATTAGGCAGAAGTAATTTTAATGTTCTCCAGGCTTTTTTGATTTTTACCCGTTGTCATGCTGATTGATATAAAGGACAAGAGGTCTGATTGTAGCTTGAGATTGCCTAGTTAGTAGCATACTTATTTGTACGGCTGATACTCTCCCTTGTAAATGGGACATTCTTACTTTATTCTTTTTTTATACAGTTGACATTTATTATTATAATTCTGTTTTACACCTAAGAGTTATATTATCACTTTATCTTATCTCATACATTTGTTTGTATGTATCATGTATTAATGTTTTTAAATAAGTCACAGTTAGTCAAGAAAGTTACAAAAAAAGAACGTTGGACCTTTGCTCAAGGACGGTTATGTTTAGTTATGTCAGAATAGATTATAAATCCAATTTCTAAAGTGTATGTAGTGAGCGTCAGATTCCAGAAAGAATCTAGTAGACATTGACAGCATAGATTTTTGCTGGCGGAGCTTCAGGTGAAAAGGTTGGATTTTAAAGTTCTCTTTGAGAGCGCGAAGAAATGTCCGGCATAATGGCGAGTTGTATGCCTGACTATTCTGATTTAGAAAAACGCTGACTCTTCATAATACACTGTATCACCATCAACCTCCAGAACAGCATTAGGTTTTACAACATAGCATGCTGATTAATTCGACGAATATTAAACATGAAACTGACTGAGAACCATTTTAAAAAATGAGCTCTCATGAAGAAACGACATTATTTTTTTGTTCCACCAGTCCTCAGATCAGTTCGTAACATGTTTATTGGAACACCTGAGTTTGACTTGGCCACATTGACGTATGAGAACAGCGATATATGTTTGAAAGGACTTGTAGATCTATATACACAAAGTAATCAACAACTCCAATTTTCGGTAACTATCAACAGCTCCAGTTTTCCACCACTTTTCTTTCCTCTCTTTCGATAGCTGAAAATCCTTGATTAACTTTGCCAGCTGCGGCAGTTACGTCGCCTTGCAAGGACTTCGTATATATGGGCTTGAGAACACCTGTACGAACTTCATTGTTGTTTTCTATAGCAAAACCAATACCTATGAATGCTTTACCCATGCTTTCTTTGAATCTATTATGATCTCTGACGTAAGTGTACGCGGCCACAAAGAAGACTACGGCGCTAACGAGCTGTAAAACATTTGGAAGATAGAAGGATTTAGCTAGTGATTTGAAGCGACCATATGGAGTAGAGTCTTCTCCTCGTATGGCGTCCGAGATCTGAAAAGTTCAGAAGCATGGTTGTAGAGTGCTGCAAGTTGCAACAATGGCATGACGAGCAAATTCTACTCTGCTTACCAATCCTATGACATAAGGACCCGATGCATCTCCAAGCAAATGTGAGAGCAGTATTTGCCATGAGTTGGCCGCACTTCTTCGCGTCGGCGCTACCACGGCCTAAAGAACATTAGTTTAGAAAGTAATGAAAAAATAGGCGACAGAAGGTAAGTAGTCCAAATGCTAGAAAAACTTTTTTTGAAGTCTCGGGTAAACAGATATCATGGCGTTCGCGCATGAAACATCTTTACGAAAAGAGCTTCACTCGCAGTTACGTATGTGAACTGGTATTCTTATGGTAGTAAGTCATCAGCACAAGGTTCTATATGTCATAGTCGTATGTTGAACTTTTCCGAAATTGGGTTAGTTAGGATAGTTTGAACTGATAAGTACTCTACGCCTTGTTGTAAAAGTCTCTTCTCGAATTTATAGCGTGCTCACAAATCTAGCGAACAAAATGCGAACGTAGATTTATCTTAACCGCAGCTGCAACCACACTTTGGCAGAGTGCTACTATTAGAAAACTTCAATTATGACAAACAAGTATGGCCTCTCGCTCGAAAATTCTTCCAACTTAAAAACTCACCATTATCATATCAACATTGGTAGCCCAATTGAAGCATAAGGTCGTTACGGTTACGAAAATGAGAGCCTAAATGTAGGAGAAGTTCTTCAATTATCTAATATAAATCTAATTCTTACAATTTTTACAAGAAATCCTTTTCATATAAGAACTGAGTGAAGAAGACGTATAACCAAAATGACGAACTGTTCTTTCAATTATTCATACAATTTCCCATATCAAGAAAGTAAAATAATTAAAAAGACATACATAACACACTGTCATGTTTGTTTCTATAGATTGAATTGCAAAGTATAAGGCTGGAATTCCTATCAGTGCACCAAATCCGCAAATTATGGGATCCGATCTAATCGTTTTGACGCATTTGAATGGTCCCCAGCCGGTTCGAAGTAACTGAAAACGAATGACAATGGAGGGCGAAAAACGATATGAAGAAAAGGTCTACCATAGAAAGTCCTGAACCGAGGCTGACTCCGACGATTCCTCCGATGCAAGTGATTATGCCAAAGGTTAGATTGATTCTAGAAGTGAGAGTACTAGTTAACTTGTGTAGGTGTTAGTGGGAAAAGGATTATTTTGAGATTTGCATTCTTAGTTTACCCATTAACCTATCACCACCTTACTTACCTACCTACCAGATCTAAATAATGTCAAAATTTACTTACTTAGCCTTCTCTTCTGGTCCCAATAAATCAGTGCTATTCAAGCCCGCTATGTGTGCCTCACTATGCTCACATGCAGTGGGGCCCCACCATGTTAATGTTCCCACAACGAAAACGATTGCCGTGTAGGCAATTGTGGAGAAAACATAAGTTAGGCTGAAAGGAGCTAGTATAATCATCTACTCTGCAAAGTTAGAAATTGACGTACTTTGACAGCAAAGCTTTTATATCATCGCAATAGCTGGTATTTACCATCTCTGCTACAATTTCACCTTTTCTCCGTTCCGCTGCACCTCGTTCCGGCTCACGGATAAATAGCGCGATCATCACAAGACACATC